CAAACCTCAACAGATACAAAAGCTTGGAATGCACTCTGAAATGCTCGGCACCTTTGTGCTGGCTCCTTTTGTCAACTCGATAGAAGCTGCAGTCATCTAAGGGAAGGAAACCTCAACTGGTAAATTGCCTCCGTAAGATGGAGCTTCAGGCAGGCCTGTAGGGAATTTTCTTAATTAGTGAAGTGGGAAAACTCAGTCATTTATGAGTGGTGCCATCCCTGGGCTGACAGTACTGGGTACCATAAGAAAGCAGACTGAGCAAGCCATGAGAAGCAAGCCAGTAAGCAGCACCCCTCCATGGCCTCTGTATCAGCTCCGGTCTCCAGGTTCCTGCCTGATTTGAGTTCCAGCCTTAGCTTCCCTCAGTGGACTGCGAGTTCAGAATAGAGGAGTCAAATAGACCCTTTCCACCCCAAGCTGCTTTTGTTCATAGTGTTACATCATAGTAACCCCACCTAGGACAACCTTCTTTCCATTCTGTTACATGTAGTCCTAAAAAGATGTGTGACCATGGCCTGTGGTTGTGTTGTGTGTGTAGTTGAACATGTCTGCCTCTCCCCGCCGTGTGTGTGTATGTGTGTGTGTGTTTATGTGTGTGTGTGTGTGTTTTTAAAAAAAATGGAGGTCAACCTCAGTTGTCTTCCTCAGTCACTCGCCACCTTACTTTTCTAGACAGGGTCTCTCACTAAACCCTGGCTAGAGATCACCAATTCTGCTCACCTTGCTGGCAGCAAGTCCTGGGGAGCCTGTCTCCACTTCCCCAGCTCTGGGATTAAAGGGACATAACGCTATACCCACTTTCATGTGGTTTCTGAAGATTTAAACTCAGGTTCTCATGTTTGCATTGCGAGCATTTTACCCACTGAGGCATCTCTCCAGGCCCTGGATTGTGAGTTCATACTATGAGCAGTGCGAACAATTTCCCTGCGGACATTACATAAAACCAGCTGTCCCTCCTGTTTGCTCTCTCTGTGTAGTGTGATCCGGTGGCTACAGGGAGTTTTTGAGATTGCCAGGCCCATGGCAGCTTGAACCACCAGTGCTTTTGATCCAGGCCAACTATGCCAGGAGAAAAAGAAAAGCAATCCATGGTCTGACATGGCTATGAAAATAATTTTGACTTCATGAGCTCCTGCAGAGGGCTCAGGGATCCTTGGGACTGAGAAAGGCTGTGGTCAGAGGTGAAACCTGGCACCTCTTCTTAAAACCTAGTTCCTAGTTCCATAGAATAGCCAAAGGCATGCAGGTCCCCTTTCTGCACAGCCTAGGGCCAGCGCTCTCCCCGACTGGATCCCAAGGCTCTCTGACCCCCTATTACTCATCGCTGATCTTTTGAATTGTGCAGCTGCTGGACCCAGCACTCCCCACAGAGCCCTGAACAACCTCCGGTGGACTCTGTGATAATTGAAGCCTTGGCGCCACAACAGAGTGAGCTCTGGGAAATTCGAGGGAAACTCAACCCTCCATGTACTTAGGAAATGCCTTGATTTGTGACTTTCTTTTGTTCTGTAACTATGAAAATTTCATGGAACTGTATAACCTTGGGCTATAAGAAGACACTTGTAGCTCCTCACTGGGGTCACAGAACCAAATAATTCTCTGTGGCCATAACTAGTTAGAAGTTTTGTTCTCTGTGGTGTTTTTTAATCAAGTTGCTTCTGGTTAACAGACTTCAGCGGTCTGCCCCGTGTCATTTGTGCGATTCTAGAACCCAACATTTTGTGCACAATTCTGGAAAGACACCTCAGTCACTGGCAACTTTATTCTACTGGTTCTGGCCAGTCTGTAAGTTTATCTCTGGTTTCTGTATCTGGTGTCTGGACAAACAGGAGGCACAATAGAGAGTGGGTGAACGCACTGTTGAGCTTTGAGCCAGAGGGGAAACGGAGGATGCTTTGACCCCTCTTCAGGTCTTTGAGTCACTCGGGATTCTGTGGACTTTCGAGACTGGTTTGGGATTACGTGGTCCTGTGTGCGTGTGCAGCGTCCTTCCTTCCATCTGTCTCATCAACTTTGTTTAATTGTCCTGTTGCCTACTGTCAATCTCCTTATGGTAATTGTCAGTAAATTAATGTGTACCACGGACCAAGCTTCCTCTGAGCCTCAGGCTCCTTTGGATCTTGTTCTCTCTTTGTTCCAGGGTTTCAGGAACTCAACCGTAGTTTCTGCTAGCCTTCTCTGCCCCTCGCTGTCTCAGGTGCCCGGGCTCTGCACTGCAGCCCTGATGGCTCGGGGCCCCACTTCCTAAAATACCAGCTGGAGAAAGTAAGAAAAGTTTCGTTTGGTTTAAACGCATGAATATGGCCATTAAATGTTTGTCTTTAAATGTATGAGTCAACTACATTCAATGTGTTCTGGTTGCAGCCCTTGCTTCCTGCCCAAGCTCAGAATTTATCTCTGGGTGCTCTGGTTATTGGATCGGATGTAATAAGGATCCAAATGTCAAAAATTGTTTTATGCTGTTAAAGAACTGGCTCTAAAATTGGAATAAGATTTTTGTATAATTCCTGTCCTGTCTTAAGACAAATATAAAAAGACAGACATAGAAAGATAGGATCTAAAACAGTGCTTATTTGATAAGATATTAAGGTTGCATCTCTATGCTTTTATATGCAAAACTATACCTGGCTCTGGCAACTAAACTCTATAATTTAAGCATCACTCAGGTGATAATGGTTTTAAAGGCGTAAAGAGACCATGGGGAACAGGCTGAGATCTAGAAGGCAGGCTATGTATATGCTGCTGCCGAAGGGAACCAAAGAGGCCAAAAGACTGACTAAATCCCAGACCTAGAGCTGTGGATTGTTTGCATGTTTGGAGCTTGGTTTTGTCTTATGTCGATTGAGGTTGTGCCCTGTTTCTCCCTCTTTAAATAAAAAAAACAAAAACAAAAAAAAACCTAGATATTTTAAAGAAATAACTTTAACATATAAGTTTATAATGCTGTGAAACATTTTTTTTAAATATTTGTTTTTTATCTTTTGTGTTTTCTATATTTATTTATTTATTATGTATACAATATTCTGTCTGTGTGTTTGCCTGCAGGCCAGAAGAGGGCACCAGACCCCATTACAGATGGTTGTGAGCCACCATGTGGTTGCTGGGAATTGAACTCAGGACCTTTAGGAAGAGCAGGCAATGCTCTTAACCTCTGAGCCATCTCTCCAGCCCATGCTGTGAAACATTTTAAAATTTATATTTTATTAATACTGGACAAATATCTACTAAGATAACTAATTGCCCAATGCTTAAGCTATTATACAACATATCCAAAGTTAATAAAAGATGGTAACCCAAGCCATCTGACAACTTGAAACTACTGGCTTAGGAAATGTCTCTCCTTAGTTAAGGTTTATTCATGCTAACAAAAACTGACTTAGAAATATATGTGCCTAACCTTCTTGTTTTTACTAGCATTTTTAAGCTATAACTATTTTGATAAACTGAGTCATGCAGAGAATTGTTATGTTCCATTATAACACACTATATAAAGATAAAAAAATAATATCTTAAGATTACGCTATAAGTTCTTCTCTCAGGACTTGTAGATTGTCCCTTGGGTATGGTATAAAATCTATGTAATTTATAACAAAATTTGGCTTTAAACTTACAACAAAGGATTTATAATTAAAATTCTATACATGGATATATATATGCACATACATATATATGGTTCGACTCCTGTTTAAGAGATATATGCACATATATTACTTGAATTTAACTCTCTATATTATATATATATAGCTAAATAGATAGATGTAAGCTGGATTTAATTCTACATATATGTGCTTATAACTTAGATCCAACTATTATTTTAAAAACCATGTTTTAAATAGCTACCACATGGCTCTCCTCCATCCTGGCTGGTGATCTCATCAGGATGTAGGCGGCCGCATGGCTGGCCACCATCTTTACAAAAGTTAGAGGATAAATATCATATGACACGTCTTAGTCCTAACGAGTTTCCTGCTCATTGTGTCTCCTTTTAAACTAAGGAAATAACAAATCTCAGATATTTGAAGTTGATACTTTTATATAATAAAAAATATAAGGTTAGATTTATTACAATATACTGAATAAATAATTCAACTCTGATCTAAAATATACTCTATGTGATGCTAAAAATTTAAAGTTATAAAGATCTATTTATCTTAACAAAAGCTGGCTTAGAGATTTGCGCCTAAATACTTGTGTCTTTGCCAAGTGTTCAACACCAAGCTTCTAGAGGATCTAGATAAATGGCAATATATGTTTAATAAATAAGATATTTGATAAATGAAATAAATTTTATATGTAATATCTTACGTATTCCGTAATAGTTTCTGGTCCCCCAACAGGGTCCTTTTCCCAGGGCTGCATCAGTAGCCCTCCTATACAGAAATGATAGAGAAGCAGAGAGGGAAATCAGAGAAACATCACCTTTCCCGATAGCCACAAATAGCATAAAGTATCACGGGGTAACTCTGACCACACAAAGACTCAACCAAGAAAGAGAATTACAGACCGATCTCGCTCATGAACATCGTTGCAATTCTCAATAAAATACTGGCAAACCGAATCCAAGAACACATCAAAAAAACTATCCATTATGATCAAGTAGGCTTCATCCCAGAGATGCAGGGCTGGTTCAACATATGAAAATCTATCAATGTAATCCATCATATAAATAAACTGAAAGAAAAAAACCATATGATCATTTCATTAGATGATGAAAAATCATTTGACAAAATTCAACACCCCTTTATGATAAAGGTCTTGAGAGACTAGGGATACAATGTTCATACCTAAATATAATAAAAGCAATATACGGCAAGTCGACAGCTAATATCAAAGTAAATGGAGAGAAACTCAAAGCCATCCCACTAAAATCAGGAACACAAGGCTGTCCACTCTCTCCATACCTCTTCAATATAGTGCTTGAAGTTATAGCAATAGCAATAAGACAACATAAGGAGATCAAGGGGATTCGAATTGGAAAGGAAGAAGTCAAACTTTCGTTATTTGCAGATGATATGATAGTGTACATAAGCGACCCCAAAAACTCTACCAAAGAACTCCTCCAGCTGATAAACACCTTTAATAATGTGGCAGGATACAAGATCAACTCCAAAAAGTCAGTAGCCCTCCTATACACAGTAAGTCTTTTTTTTAAATCTGATGGTATTTGATGACTAGGCTAATGATGGCTTTGTCAGTTTAACAATGGTAACCAAGGCTTCGGCTGCCTTCTCAGCTCTCTCTCTCTCTCTCTCTCTCTCTCTCTCTCTCTCTCTCTCTCTCTCTCTCTCTCTCTCTCTCTCTCTCCTTCCTACTGCTAAACTTAGACACAGTTTACCTTGTTACCAGAGTTACAGAAGACATAAGCTCACAAAACAGATTTCAATGTAATTTTTTATCATTCCTTTATTAAAAGGAACTCAATTAACAATGATTGCTCTCAGCAATCAATCACCTGTGTCTCCTGGTAAATAATAATAAAAATAACATAAACTGTATGAATACAAATTAGAAAGACATAAATAATGTAAGACATAATAAAATAAAAAATATTTCTTTTCCCCTATATGCTATTGTTATGCTAAGATTTCTGAAGTTCAGAGTTTTAACATTGATCAATTTTAATAGGAATTCCAATAAGAGTTCTAATAAGCTGATAGAGCACCGACTCTCTTCTCCCATGTCCTCTCCAGCATTTGCTGTCAGATTTCTTGATGACAGCCATTCTGACTAGGGTGAGGTGGGGTCTCAAAGTAGTTTAAATTTGCATTTATCTGACGACTGGAGATGTTGAACTCTTTCAAGAACAGTTATTGGCTACTTTCTTTTTTCTTGTTTTGAAACAGTTCATGTGATGATTGAGGATGATTATTATTAACATCTTGGCATTTCATTTCTTCCTTGGCATTTAACTATATGTAAATTCTAGATCTCGGTTCTTTGTCTGAAGTGTAGTTGGTAAAGACTGTCTCCCATTCCTTGGGCTGTCTCTTTGCTCTGCTGATGGCTTCCTTTGCTGTGCAGAGAGACTTTTACCTTCAAGTTGTCCCGTCTGTCGGCACTTGGGGCAAGTCCCTGTGCTACTGTGCTCTGCTCAGGGCGTCCTGCCTGCCCCAGTGTCACAATGAGTGAAGCCTATGCTTTCATCCAGAAGTGTGAGCTTTTGGGGATTTAAATTAATATCTTTGATCCATTTCCAACTGAGCTTTTTATAAGATGAGAGATTTGAATCTAATTTCATTATTCTGTAGGTGGATATCAACTCTGTCACGGTATTTTTTTTTTTTGTAGTTGGTAAGTGCATAAAAAGTAAACGATAAAGTATAAAACCCTAACTAGAACTCCATAGCTTCCAAACAGCCATTCTAGCTATATAGAAATTCATTGAGATGTATGGAGTTTGGGACTGGGCGACCATTTGTTTAAGTGACTATTTTGATCTAGCTGTGTGGTGTATTTTATTTCTGAGTGTATTACAGCAAAGTGATTTTTATTTATAAAGGAAAAAAAGGGTAGGTAGTTAAGCATGGGTCTGTGAGGAAGCCAGCAAACATTGTTCTTCCTGTTTTTCCTGACCTCTCTCATTGATAGGCTGTGACCTGTAAGCTGAAACAGTCCTTCCCCTGCAGAGGTGCTTTTGGCCAGAGTGATATAGTGTTTTGTATAATATATATTACACAGCATATATTATATAGTATATCATATATTTAGTATTGTGTATAATGTATATTATATATTGTGTGTAATTATAACATTATATGATATATAATGCAATATTTTGCATGTAGTATTTATATTCTATATTATAATATAGAATATAGTATTTTGGAATGTTTTTATATAAGATATATGCATAAATCATATATATAAGATATTATACACACACACACATATATATGTATAAATAAATTGAGGATTGTCAACCCATTGCAGACAATCCCTCATGGAGACTTCCTTCCCAGGTGATTGGTTGTGTCAAATTGGCACAGATAACTATCACACTAATTAAGGTATAAACATTGTGGTGGTTTAAAAGAAAATGGTCCCAAAGGGAGTATTATTAAAAGGTGTGGCCTTGTTAGATTAGATGCGGCCTTGGAGAAAGTATCATTGTGGAGGTGAGCTTTGAGGTCTCGTATATGCTCAAGCCAGGCCCATGAGACAGACCACTTTCTGTTGCCTATCAAGATGAAGGATTCTCAGCTCCTCTAACACCATGTCTGGTTGCATGTTGCCTTGCTTCCCAGCATGGCAGTAATGGACTGAAGCTTTGAATGGTAAGTGAGCCACCACATGGAATGTTTTCCTTTATAAGAGTTGTCGTGGCCATGGTGTTTCTTCACAGCAATAGAAACCTTAGCTAAGACAGACGTTTGTTGACCCTCTATTACATGCTCACCATAGTGCTGGGTTATCTCATTTTGTTGGGGGGGAAAGAAACAAAACCCGTTCCCCAAAGTCTCTAAGCCCTGGAGAAATAGACAGATGAACAGATAGTATGACATGAGCTGTAACAGGGGCTCTGAGAGGTAACCCAACCTCTCTAGGGAAATTAGGGGAGACTTTTCAGAAAAGGTGACTACTGGGTCAAGTCCTGAGGGACCAAGAGTACTGAGTCATGGAAAGTTCTAGGCTTGAGGAACAGCATGGGTCCAGATGCAGATGAGGTGGAGCTGGAAGCTGAGCAGAGGTCAGAGTGAGGGCAGAGTGAGCCAGGACGTGTTCAATCCCCAAAAGACTGAGACCCGCAGGCTTCAACGCTGTTCCATGTCCTCTATCAAACTGCTTAGGTCATTGTCTTCTGCATCACAAGAAACGAACATTTCCATTTCTGGTTAGCTTTTGGTGCTTATGGCTCTGACCCTAATTTTTAGCCTTTTATTAAGTCCAAATATGAACATTATAAAACATTTTATAAGCACATATGTCCCACAGCCTTATAAATTTATTAAAAAACTTTTTAAATTAAAATCGCTTAAATGTCTTCCTGCAATATCAAAAATAAAGTACTTCTTTGGTCCCACCCTTGACCGTATATACATAGCCTGTCTCTGAGATCTCAGCCTGCTCACTGTAGGTGGCACTTTTGGTGATATCACCTGGCACTGGCATTTCTAAAACTGTTAAGGTCCGTTGTTGCAACTACATTCCTTGGGACTCTAGTCCTGCTGTACTTTTATAAACCTCAGCTGTTTCCTATGATCCCTTTTTGTCTTTATAACCATTGTCACCTAGGTGACCGTCAAATTAAAGTCTAGCTGGCAGAGCAAGGTACATTTTTGAATATAAAAACATGAAGACGCAGCTTTAATAAAACAGTTTTAACATTATCTATACCTGAAAGTCATCTGAATTTCTGCTAACCCAAATCCAGTAACCAGAGCTCAGAGATAAATTCTGAAGTCAGGCCCGTAAATGTGGCCACAGCAGTCATGGGTGGCAGAGACAGCAAAAATACCCAAACCATTTCTGTCTCAGCAACAAAACAAGCATATTCAGTATTTGCAGATAGGAGAAACCACAGCAAACATAGTTCACATCCCCTTCTGACCTCCTATCATTTTTTATAAACCTTCAATCCATTTTTTCCTCTCTTCATTCTTTCAGTCTCCTGCTTTCTCCCTCGCTTTCCAGGCAACATACCGAAGTCTTTCTCGCTTCTCAGACATTAAAAACTCTTACCAAGGTCTTTCTTATGGTAATAATATATTGTATGGCTACAATATTTTAAACAAGAACAGAAACATTCATATACTATAACAAAAATAACTTTAAATTTACATCACATAAAATCCTGTGAAAGATCTGAGACTAAGAGTAGTTTTTTCCCATCCGCTAACCAATAAAAATTTGTAACCATCCCCTCTAAATGATGACAGATATTTATAACCCATTGGATCTGAATGACCAAAGCAGCTCCGGTGGAGGGAAGTCTGGCTATAGTGTCACAGCACGGCTACTGCAGCTTAACACCTACAGCCAGTGACTGCAACTCATTGCCTTTGGCGCACGGAGCCAAACCTTGGCCAGGTTTGGCCAGAAATGGAGACCCACAGCCTCCAGGGCAGGCTGAGGGAACCCACCCATCAGCACGGGAGGGGGCAGGGTGGCATGCAACATGGGAGTTTTAAGGGAAAAACCTGCAAAGGCAAAGGGGGCTGTGCAGTCGGATCAGCCAGAAGGAAAGGCCTATCTGGTCAAGTCAACCATCAACAGAAATACAAAGACAACACACAAGACCGACAAACACAACATTTAGACAAAGGGCCCAGAACAGACTCTCATTTGTTTGGGTTTTTTTTTTTTGTTTGTTTTTTGTTTGTTTTGGAGACAGGGTTTCTTTGTGGTTTTGGAGCGTGTCCTGGAACTAGCGCTTGTAGACCAGGCTGGTCTCGAACTCACAGAGATCCGCCTGCCTCTGCCTCCCGAGTGCTGGGATTAAAGGCGTGCGCTACCACCGCCAGGCCCAGACTCCCATTTTTTGAGAGCCCAGAGATTTCAGCCTTGACAAGACCAAAAACCATACAGATGGGACAGGAGCCGTTAAGGCTACCTCATCCCCAGATTCTTACAGATGGAGACTGACTGGGTCCTTAACGGGATGATCTCAGGTGAAAGACCCCCATCCAGACGAGGAAAGGAGACATCGCCCCATTCCTCCAGGCTGGCCCTCTAGAGCATTCGCCAGGGCAAATTGACCTGTTCAGATTCAGATTCGGTTTCAGACTAAGATTCAAAGATTGGTGCTGACAAAAAAACGGAAGACAGACAGACAAGACTTCGAACACAGACTTACCACGGTTGATCCGAATAACCCTTTGGGTCAGGGGTCCGGATAAGGGTCTCTGGGAATCCCAGATGAACCCCCAAGTGTTGTGCCCGGTCAGTGGGGACCCCAAAAGACCACCAGGGAGACCAACTCACTGAAATGTAAAAGCAAGTTTATTATTGTACATGTGTACAAGCCGGCAGGGACCTCGTCAGCACAGCAGCGAGAGGAGGCACCCTGCTCTTCTAGAGAGCACTGTTTAAAGGCAAAAACCAGAGAAGTTACATTAGTAGGGTTTGGGGTGACAGGTTCAATCCTGATTGGCTGACATTTGTCTAGGGGTGTCCTGGTGAAAAGCGATGGGTATGTGCTGGCAGGTGATCCTATCTACAATGGTTGGAAAGTTAGGAAATTCCTGGGTGGTGCCTGGGTGGTCTTAGTTTATGGTCAGTCTTACAACCTTAGGGGAAACTCCTGAGACTCAGGCTTCTGTCAAGCTTATCATGGCTGGGTCCTATAAAAAATAGACTGAAGATATTGTTTTCATACCATTTCCATTGGTTGATTTACAAAATATTGACACAAAACTGGGCTATTTAGCAGTTTTTTAAGGAAGTACTTTTATCGATATTTCTTTACAGATTAGGCATTATTACAAGTAGCTACTGTAAAGGCAAATTTTCCTATCCTGTTCTTGTAAAGGAATCCCAGGCTGTGAAGATCCCAAAGGTTGAATTATCTTTTTAATAGCTCTTAGATCAGTGACTGTTTCCCATCATCCAGATTCCTTTTTATTACAAATATAGGAGAATTTAAGGGCTAGTGGTTTCCTTGGTGTGTTTAGCATCTAACAGTTCTTTTATTATTTTTTAAAAGATTTATTTATTATGTGTACAGTATTCTGCCTGCATGTATGCCTGCATGCCAGAAGAGGGTACCAGATCTCATTATAGATTGTTGTAAACCACCATGTGGTTGCTGGGAATTGAACTCATGACCTCAGGAAGAGCAGTCAGCGCTCTTAACCTCTGAGCCATCTCTCCAACCCCTTTTATTAGTTTTTTAAGTGCCTGCGATTTTTACCCACATAGGATTTAGTATCTGTCCCTGTCCTTCAGTTTTTACACATTTAATCCACTTTATATTTTGCTCCACTTGAGATAAAGTTTCAGTGTCTAAAAACTGAGTGGAGACCTCTTGCAAAGGCCGATTGGGATTCTAGGATTTGGAAAAACTACAGATATATCAGCTTTAGCTTTTAGTAGGCCTGAATCTCAATGTCATTTACGTGTAACTTTGGCTTTGGTCTCACATCATAAATAATGGTTTGCTAAAACACCTTCTTTCCAGTATGTTTAAAACCTTTTATCATATAATTAGAGCTGTTTTACCTTTAAAATATGGGAGCAATGACAATTAAGCAATTCTATCACCAGCTTCTGTCTGCATCATCTTCTTCACACAAGCCATCTATGAGAGCATTAAAGCAATCTCTATAGGATTTTAAAGGTAACTTCAGCAATACTCATGGAGCATTTTTATAAAATCTTATAGATTCCAAGTAACATGTTAACGCAGCTTGCCAGTTATTGATAGTGTGGATAAAATAATTTACCTGCATTTTATTTAATGGATAAACAATTCTGTAACCACTTTATCAGTAAAAGATTACTTCTATGAGCTTTTACCTTAGTAGCCATAGTATCTAATAACCTAATAACTCAATCTGTTTCAGGTGTTACATTTTTATAGAATTTAACCACAAATTTTTAGAGAATAACTTGAAGAGCAGAGCCAAATTTTCAGTAATGGAAGCATGGGCTCTGCTTTTTGATGAGTTCTCCTCAAAGCTCTCAGAACTTCTTCCCAACCTTCAGTTTCAACTGAACAGGAGGAGTTGCCTGGGACCATGGCAATGCTGTTTAATTAAATACTCTGTAAGCGGTTTCTTCTTTATTTTCACTCTGTTTCCTTTGAGCAGGCATTTTAATAACTGGACACACTGTAGCTCCTGAAATAGGAAGCTTCCCATGGCCCTGCCAATCCTGGAGTCCCCTTACTTTGAGGGCACTTGTTCTTTTAGTTCTCAAAGTGGCCAGATTCTGTGTTCTTTTTTAGGAGATCCTTTGTCCTTCTTTAAGCCCCATGTTGGGTGCCAAAATGCCACAGGTAATATGGTGTGGGTTGGTGAAATGAAGACTCAGAGACACTTTGAGAATGAACTTAGCCTTAGCAATGGCAGGAGGCCCAGCCTCTGTGGACTGAAACACTTCCCTTAGCCCTTCGGCATTTTTGTTTTTCCTTATGTTTACACTTTAGCTGGTAGATTTTCATATGCTCAAAACAACCTCAATAAAGCTTCCAAAAATACATTGCCAAGTGAAAATACCTGATTCATGAGGTTTCATGGTTTTCTGGGTTGCCCTTAACCAAGTTTTGCATAGGCTTTGTATCCATGGGAAACTCTCAGACAAGATTTACATAGGGTAACAAAAGGTATCTGTAACAAAAATGGATTAGGGCTGGGTGTTAACATCAGAGCTAGACCAGGTAAGGCCCAGCAGGAGTTGCTTGCTAACCCTCTGGTGCCAGGTTGACAGGAATTTCTGCCACACACACACCCCACCCCCCCCACCTCCCCACAAGATGTAAAAGAGAATAAAAATTAAAGTTATTATCCAGCGGTGGCAGCACATGTCTTTAATCCCAGTACTTGGGAGGCAGAGATGGGCAGATCTCAGTGAGTTTGAGGTCAACCTGGTCATCAAAGTGAGTTCCAGGACAGCCAGAACTGTTACACAGAGAAATCCTATCTCTGAAAAAAAACAAAAGATACAAAACAAAAATAAATAAATGAATAAAATTATTTTAAAAAAATCACTATCACTATGACCAGTATATATCTTGAAGATTTTCCCCAAAGGTCCAAGTGTCCAAGGCTTGGTACTTCTGAAGCTTCTGAACACTTGCAGTACCTTCAGGAAGTGAGGCCTGGTGGAAAGAAATTAGAAAATTGGATGTCCTTAAAGGAGATTTTGTGACAGGAGGCCCTTCCTGTTTCACCCTTTGATTCCCAGCTGCCACCGTCCACCACAAGTTCCCAGCCATGCGGCTCCTGAGTCACCACGGCCCCAAAGCAGCTGGACCAAGGAATTATGAACTAAACCCATGGGCCAAGTGTTAACTTTTTCTCCTTAAAAGTTTCCAGACCTCAGGTGATTCGTCACCGTGATGGGAGGTAATTCATTGCTGCCCCCCATTAATCCCAGTACATGGATAGTCACATTCCTCATTCCTGGGAGCTAAGAGGACAGAGAAGACAATAGAGGGGTATATTCTCAACTGCTATTTTCTGTGGGCCAGCCTACAGAAGCTGTACTTGGCTCTGAGCTGTCTGCTCTCTGCTCCATCTGGCTCTCCTGGTGGTGGGAACAGATACAAAGTTTCTGAAGCTTGCTCTGTGCCGAAGTGAATGGCTGCCTTCTCTTACTTGCCCCTCCCCTCCCAAGAACAGGAGTGTTCATGCCCTTCCCTTCTCTTTCTACACCCCCAGGGCCTCGTTCGAACTCAGGACTCTCAAGGCCCCACCTCAGAAGTGCTGGAGTGTCAGGGGCACACCGTCATGCCCAGCCTCCGGGATCGTCATTCTCTGCTGCTTTCTTTGGGTTTCTCTCAGCAGAAGAGGAAACTTTCTCTTCGTGGATCCCTGAAGATGAGTGACATCTAGTGAATTTTATCGTTCCTCTCACTCTCCTGGATTGGCGTGTCATGTCTGCCTAGTCATGTCTGCCTAGCTCCGTGGCTAGTGGAGGACAGAGCTGGGTCTGATGTGACCTGAGCTTCATCACCACATCTTGGTATCCGAGGATCCTGAAACACCGAAACATCTTCCAAGAGAGGCAAAGGTGTGCTGATGAATTTTCTTTGGGCCACCAGTTCACATTTTTGTGAACATTTTTGTGACACAGGGCTTATTATTAATTATGAAAGCTTGGCCTATAGATTAGGCTACTCCTACTATCTCTTATAACTTAAACTAACTCATTCCTAATCATTTACATGTTTGCATGTGACTCCTGGCTTTTACCTCCCCACTTGCATGTCTTGTTCTCTTTCTGCCTCTGGCTGGCAACCCCACCTTTATTATTCCCAGAGCTCTCTCTGTCCAGAAAGTTCCTGCTATTCTTCCTGCCTAGCCATTGGCCATTTAGCGTTTTAATAAACCACAGTGACACATCTTCACACAGTGTGAAGGAATATTCCACAATAGAGATGGCTTTTGAGAGCAGCCTTTTCTGTCACTGTCTGCCAATTTAATTTAATTTAATTTAATTTAATTTAAGACCATGTCTTACTATGTAGTTCTAACAGTCCTGAAACTTGCTATGTAGGCCAGGTTGGCCATGAACTCAAGAGATCCACCTGCCTCTGCCTCTTAAGGGCTGGGGTTGATGATATGTGTCATTACTCCCTGCCTTCTCTTTGTCTTAACCAAAGTATATTATCCCTCCCCACAGTGGAAAGCAAAATCGGGGTGCAATCCCCACTCCTTTCTGACCACCAAACCCTGAGCCTTATGCTTCCATGGACTCTCCTTCTATGTTACAGCTGAGCTTCTTCCCTGATATAAAACGTTAAAAACTGGGCTGAAAGACTAGAGAAATGGCTTAGCGATTAAGCACACTGGTTGCTTTCCCAAAGAGCCCAGGTTTGGTTCCCAAAATCCATATGGTGGCTCATAACTGTCTGTAACTCCAGCTCCAGTGGATCTGACATCCTCTTCAGACTTGTGAGAGGAACAGACACTCAATGTGGTATAGATACATACATATACACACATATATGCATACATACATATACACACATACATACATACATACACATACATATATACATACATACAGGTAAAACATCCATACACATAAAAGAAAAATAAATACATCTCTAAAATCAAGTAGAAGAATGAATAAAACCCAGGGTGGGGCTGTAGCTCAAGCTGTAGAGTACTAGCCACGCATGGTCAAAGCCCAGGATTAATTACCAAGCACTACATATACTTGATGGGGGAGAGTCTTCTGTTTTGTGTTAATTTCATTGGTTAAATAAAGAGACTGCCTTGGCCCTTTGATAGGACAGAAAATTAGGTAGGCGGAGAAGACTGAATAGAATGCTGGGAGAAAGAAGCCGGGTCCGGCAGTCGCCATGATTCTCCCACCCGACACAGCCGCAGGTTAAGATCCTCCCTGGTAAGCCACCTTGTGGGCTACACAAATTATTAGAAATGGGTTAGATCAACATGTAAGAGCTAGCCAATAAGAAGCTGGAACTAATGGGCCAGGCAGTGTTCAAAAGAATACAGTTTCCGTGTAATTATTTCGGGTATAAAGCTAGCCGTGCGGGCAGCCGGGTGCCAGGAACGTAGCCCGCCGCTCCACTCACAACATATACGGGACATGGTGGCATTCTGAGGGTAGAGGCAGGAAGAACAGAAGTTTGAAGTCACCCTTGGCTACACAGTGAGTTACAGAACAACCTAGCCTACATGAGACCTTACCTCAAAAACCAAGCAAACAGGGGCTGGAGTGTTAAGAGCACTGGTTGTTCTCACAAAGGACCTGGGTTCAATCCTCAGCACCCATAGGACAGTTCACAACTGTCTTATAACTGTAACTCCATCCCAAGGGATCTGACACCCTCACATAGACATGCATGCAGGCAAAACACCAATGCATATAAAATAAAAAATAATATATATGAACACACACATATATGTATATATATATGTGTATATATATATGCAAACAAAAAAATCACACACACAAGTTTAAAGCTCAGGTATTTGATGTTGACTCTGGCTTTGCCAAGGCAGCTTATTTTAGCTTTTAGCTTCCTGGTTTTGTTCTTGTAAATGCGGCTGCTTAAGCTTGCTCCTTTTTGAATTCATTTATTCAACCAATGCTTTATGAACAGCTGCCATTCGCAAGCACTGGAAAGTACTCAGAATGAATGGCAAAAGGTTCTCAAAGGTGCCTGCTCTGATAGTATTTCCCACCGTGGAGCAGAGCACAAAACAGTAGCTCAGCCATAGCTGAGCCGGGACAGCCTGATCTATTGAGTGTGATGGTGAAAATCCTTCTGGGCAGTTGTTAACCTCATGCCGTCTGGGAAGGCCCCTAGGAACACCCAAGGGAAGAGAAAGTAGCCACATAAAGGACTGGAGGAAGAGCCTGTCTGGACAGGTGACAGCAAAATAAGGGGTGGGAGCGAACAGAAAGGTCAGCAGACCACACTCAGTGGGTTGAGATGCAGTAGAAGACGGGTCAGATCCCTCTAAGCTTATAGGTCCGTGTGTAGCTGGCTCTTCTTTATTCTCCTACATGCCGCCAGAGGGGCATGCAGGGGGTGACTGTGATTGAGTCTGAGGTCAGTGCCCCATCAATCTTGTGGCTCTCATATGGCGCCACTTCCTTCCCCTTCTCAGCTTTTGCAATGCAGGGTGCCCGTGAGCACTTATGTTGACACAGGCAGTGGGGGACCCTGGGGCTCAGATACCAGGATCCCGTCACCTCCTTCCTCCCTTCCCCACCCCTACTGGGCTGTCTCTGGTTCTGGTAAAGGACATTCCAGCCACCAAATGCACCATGTGGCCTTCACAGCTCTGCATGTCTGAACTCAGTGTCACTACCTCACGTTTGTGTTGAAGGATCCTGAACGTCCACCAAAGGTGGCTCCCTAGGCAGAGGCTGTCCCTCAGTGTCTGCCTGCCTCACCCAAAGTCCCTAACTACAGTGATAAGCAAACTCTGGTGGAAGTGGATGCTGCTCCAAGTGGGATGGGGGGGCATGGGGTAGAGTGAAAGCGAAAGCTGCTTGCGCTCCTGGTCCTGGGAAAGCCGGCAGACTTGGGCTAGTGGGCCGACAGCAGTCAAGAAGAAGGGAGATTTTTTTTTTTTTAGAAAGCTGAGTGACAAGGGACCCTGTGACCCATACGCTTTCATTTCTCCTAAAAACTGGGTGACGCAGGCAGCCACAGGGCCAGTGAGAGGGGAAGTCCAGAGTTTCTTAAGAAGCAGAGAGACGGACAGTCTGAGCAGGGAGGAAAAGACAGAAGAGACTAGGGGGAGGGAGGGAGAGAGGGAGGCAGTGAAGCGAAGAGGGGTGTGGAGGAGGTGGTTGCAGGACCCGTGGGGGAGGCATTGAGGCTCAGGTGTCATAAGAGAAGGGGACAACAGTTGAGAAAAGGCAGCAGGGGAGGTGGGGGCGGGGGTGAACTAGCAGGAAGGAAGGGAAGGTTAGAGAAGTGGAGAGCGGGGGTAATAGCGTGTGGGGATAGACAAGGCCGCAGTGGAGGAGGGAGTGGAGGAGGGAGTGGAGGAGGGGTAGAAGCACTGGGGCGGAGATGAACTAGGGAGTGGAAGGAGAGAATGGAAAATTAAGGTGGAGATGGAATCTGGGTAGCAAGGAGAGGGACCTGAGGGGAAAAAGAGGAGAAAAGAGGGCAATCGGCTTAGGAAAAAAAGGCAGTAGAGGAGAGGCTCTGCGTCACCGAGACAGGAGGCCCACGATGTCCACACCTCGAGCTCAGGAGGAGCCAAGCAGATCTGAGGAGCGGCGCCCGCTGGTGGCTCGAGGCCCGCGGGGTCCCCGACGATGGAGAAGGACAGCAGCCGCAGCGGTGCTGCTGGTGGAGATGCTGGAACGCGCTGCCTTCTTTGGCGTCACCTCCAATCTTGTGCTCTACCTCAACAGCTTGAACTTCAATTGGGAGGGCGAGCAGGCGTCGAGGGCCACACTCCTCTTCCTGGGCGCCTCCTACCTGCTGTCTCCTGTGGGAGGCTGGCTGGCTGATGTGTACCTGGGCCGTTTTCTCACCATCTCGCTCAGCCTGGTACTCTACCTGGCTGCCTCGGGCTTGTTGCTTACTACCATCACCTACGATGGCCGCAGATCCTTCTGCGGAGAGATGCCCTTGTCGCCGCTGGAGCCCGCCTGCCCATCCGCAGACTGCCCAGGTTCCTGGTCCAGCCCCTACTGTGCCACCACCCTCTACTTGGTGCTGCTGCTTCTGGCGCTGGCTGCCAGCTCTGTCAGGAGCAACCTCACTTCGTTCGGAGCTGACCAGGTGAGTGGCCAGAGGGTCTAGCCTCCAGAGCGACTTCAGACAAAGCACTTCTCTCAACACCAGTTTCCTTATATAAAAACAGAAGAGCTGCTTGCTCTCAAGACAGTCATGCAATCTTTAGTAAGACTAGACATAGCTCCCACCTCTAAGCCATGCCCCAAGCCTCAGGCCAAGTGCCTTTAATTTTTTTTTTAAAGACAGGTTCTCTGAGTTCCAGGCTGGCCTCCAAATTTGTGGCTGTGGAAGGCCTTGAACTCCTGAACCTACTGCCTCCACCTCCCAAATGCTGGTGTGCCACTATGCCTGCTCCAGTGGGGTGTGTGTGTCTTATGTTGACACAAGGTCTCACCAGCCTGGTCTAGAATTCATTAAGTAACCAGGTTGGCTGATGCCTCTCCTGGCTCAGACTGCTACGTGTTGGGATTTCAGCTGTGAGCTGCCATGCCTAACTGCAGTGGCTTTCCATGTTTTAACTTGGCCATCTTACCTTCACCAGGCGTGGGTAGTGTTGAAGTCTCTCAGCTTACCTCAGATGACAGAGAGCAGCAGGTCAGGAGGGCTGGTGAGGCCACTGAGCCTCAGGTCCTTGAACCCTGTATTGAATCTTAATGTATTATTGGGACTTGGCGGCTGGTGCAGGGGCCAGTCAGGCTCTGCTCACCCAGCAACACCAGAGGCAGTGGGCACACATATTCAGATCTCACTGTGCCCCCTCGTCAGAGGGGCAGCCAGATATATACCTCGACCTCAGTCCTTGACACTCCCCTGGGACATGAGGTGGCATATGGGGAAAACAAAACCAGAAAATAAATACTTGCTAAATGATTAACTTAAAGCTTTGCTGCCATGGTCCTGTTTTGGCAGCTATGCACAAATAGTACCGTTGATAATAAAATAAACTAGGAGAGAATATTATTAAAGCACAGTGGCATGATCACAGGCAGAATGCAGAAACAGTCATAGACAGGCATGGGGAAGGCAAGGTGTCCGTGCACAGAGGGACCCGTGATGCTGGCAGTGTGATCAGGCCGCTGGGTGAATCGTACTTTCTCTCTAATTCAATCTGTTTCCCTCAGAAAGCACTCCTCAGTCAGGCAGTTTCCAAATGAGCTATGTCTTTCAGTTGGGTATCCACAGCCTGGCACCTCACAGTAACCGGTGTCCTTGCCGAGGATTGCCCTTTTTAGTAACAAGCATTGTGTGTGTGTGTGTGTGTGTGTGTGTGTGTGTGTGTGTCTTTGCAAGCCTATATGCACGTGTGAGCAGATGCACAGCAGAGGTCAGCAGCGTGTGTCGGGTCCCTTGGAACTGGAGAGACAGGCGTTTATCGACAGCTTGAACCTCAGGCATTCTTCTCTCTCTCCCATTCGCTGTTGACCAGGAGATTCCCAATACCTGCCAGAAAGAGTGTCCCATCTTCTACTAACTTTTTTCTTTCATTGACATCCCACTACTTACCCACTCCCAGCTGCCCTGCAACCCTGGTGTAGATAGTGGTGGCCAGCTCTTACAAAGGGCTGGAACGCAAGGAACAAGCTTATTCTACAAAACAGAATATAAAGAGTGGTTTGTTGATATTGCGTGTGTTGTGGAGAAGAGCTGGCAGGGGCGTCGATGGTAGGCCACCTACAGCACAGGGTGATGATGTGTGGGTCTCCTTTTGGTTAGGGGGAGTCTCCTTATGGGCATTTCCTGGCATGTGATTTGTGCCCCATGAGGGAAGGCAGCCCAGATTGGTAGCGTACAGTTCTGGAAGGTTACACAAGCTGCTGTGTATAGAACGTCCGGTTGTGCAATATCACCTATGCAAATAAGAGCCATGCAAATCTGGGCAGTTCCTGTTGATGGAGATTCAGCCCATCAAAGCTCAGGTCAGAGGGCAGCTCTGTCAGCTCAGAGAACTCTGCCACTAGCAGTCTGGAATTCTTAGACCAAGCTTATGAAAATTCCCTAAAGGAGGCCACCTCTGTTTTCTGATCTCTCATCAATGGCCTTTCCATCATCCCTCCAAGGGCCTCAGCCACCAAGCACCTCTTCTCTCTTTCCTTCTGGCGGCAGAACTGGTTGCCCAGAGGCCAGATCACTGAGCCCCCTGTGACATCTATAGCTTTATTCAGTGAGTTGTCTCTTCAACTCGGGCATTGCTATTTAAACATAAAATCACTGTCCATAAGATGAATACAGTTTCTATGTTGGCAACCATCACAACAACCATTCATTGTGCTGGAATTCTTGATTCTCATCTGGTGAGTGGCTTCAAACCAGACTCTGGGTTGAGGGCTCCTTTCCTGTCCCACATCCCTGTAATTTTTGCTGTCTTGGTAACCTGCTTCCCAGGATAGTGTAGAGACACTGGATTGGCTTGAGGCAGGGTAGACTTTACTGGATTTGAGTTTTTTAAAGATGGTTCTACTGGCTGGGCAATAGTGGCACATGCCTTTAATCCCAGCAGTCAGGAGGCAGAGGCAGGTGAATCCCTGAGTTCAAGATCAGCCTGGTCTGCAGAGTGAGTTCCAGGACAGCCAAGGTTACACTGAGAAACCCTGTCTCAAAAAAACTGAAACAAAACAAACAAACAAAAATGGCTCTACTGCGGTGGAAATATGGGTAGGGCCACAGGATTGGGTGAGCACAGGACAGGCTGCCGCAACACTCAGGAGGTTAGGTAGGTGGTCTAGGGATATGTGGAGCTTGGCACCATCTGGAAGAAAGCCATGCATAGGTGCTGCAAGTTTAGCAGAGTTGCTGATTTCAGGAAGGGCCATCCATCATTCTCCACACGGCGTTAGCTTACTCTGGAAGGACTCATTTATATCCCGCATGGGCTGCCTGGCCGGCCCCTTCCAGTTACACTTGTCATGTGTACTTACTTCCAATTAATGAATGGAAGTAGCTGTTAATAATGGGGTGTATTCAATTTTCTGCTTGAAGGTCCAGGCAAGGGTTCCCAGTAAGCTGACACGGCAGTGCCGCTCCTTCCTTCTCCAAGGGAGAATCCCAAAGGCAGTGCAGTTTTAAGCACATCTGTATGAATTATAATTTTACATTTAGATAAGGAGGAAAACATTTTTCGCTTCCTCAGCACAACAGCTGCAAGGAAAGCGTGGGAGAACCCTCTTAGTAAGTGGAAATATGTATTCAGTGTTAGAAGGATGGCGATGAATCCTAAGATTTGGTGGTTGTTGAAAGATGACTTTTAGCCAGCCTGGTACCACAGACCTGGAATCCCAGCTATTTGGGAGGTTCAGGAAGGAGGATGGCAGGTTTTGCAGAAGCCACAGAGTAAATTCAAGGTCAGACTCCACAACTTAATGAGGGTCTGTTTCAAAATAAAAGTCAAAGAGAGCTGGAGATGTGTCTCAATGGTAGAGTACGTGTGTAGCGTGTTTGAGGCCCTTACTTGGATCTTCAGCATGGAAGGCAGCGGGTAAAGGGGTAAGAGTACATACTACAAAAACATGAAGACCTGAGTGAGATCCCAACAACCTGTAAAAGCACAATGTGGGGTCTGGAGAAATAGCTCAGAGGTTAAGAGCACCGACTGCTCTTCCAGAGGACCTGGGTTCAATTCCCAGCACCCACAGAGCAGCTTACAACTGTCTGTAACTCAGTTCCAGGGGATCTGACACCCTCA